GGATTGTCCGGGAAAGGCTTTCACTGTTCGGGCCAAACCCCTCCGAGGAGATGATCCGACAGCTAATGGCAGAGGTGGATGCCGATATCAGAGAAGCCAGGGAGTTCGAACTCTGCCGACTTACAGCTCAGCACGGCCCAGGCCAACAGAAACCTCTACACCTCCAGATACCACCGGGAAGAGAAAAGTACAGTTCGCGGCATTCAAGTCCTTTCAAGAAAGCAAAGGGGGCATTGACGAGTACCTGGCGGACTTCGAACGACAGTGTGCTTTACACCAGATCCCCATCGAGGAATGGCACACCATACTGTCAGGGAAACTATCACTCACCGGTTATGTCGGGCTATGTCGGGCTGCTACCCATTGGATTAAAGGGTGCCAGGCAGTAACCGCAGAGGAGGTATTGCAGCTAATTTTATTAGAACATTTTTATGAGGGACTGGATCCCAAACGGAGGGCATGGCTGAAGGACCGGCAACCCACCATCCTGAACGAAGCTGCCCGACTAGCAGACGAACACCATGATCGTCGGCTGCACAAATATTCAAATGCATGAATCCCCACCCGAACGGACATTATAGACAACACACGAACGGCACCCCGAACAGACTCAGGGCGCCTATACCAGCGGGGCCAACCAGATATTCGGTACCACCCAACAACAATTATGACCAACCCAGGCAGACTTGTCACAGTTGCAACCAACCTGGCCATTACATTGAAGACTGCCCGCTCAACTCCAATCGTGCACCGAGGAATTATGCCACATCATCGTCCGGCCCTACTTGACCAGCCCGGGCTCTCTGTGTGGACCGAGAACCACCCATGGAGGAACATATGGGGCCACTTCACGAGGCTGATCCAGTCTATGCTATGTAACCCAGTACTGCATTACTAGCATTACCTCCTCCTAATCAACCATCTCCCAAACCCATGCAATTGGGTGCTATAGGGTTAACTGAAGCTGAAAGAGCAAATTGCAGAAGGGAGGGGATGTGCCTTTATTGTGGAAAGAGGGGGCATCTCCGAAGAACCTGCCCTAATTTGCAGGGAAACTTCAGCACCTAAGGCCTAGAGAGGGGTCGGCCTCGGGTGTTATGACTTTTTCCTCTCATGTGTCCATCTCTAGACCGTTTATTACGGTTACTCTGTTGGTCAATCAAACCACTATAACAACCAAAGCTTTGATCGATTCAGGTGCTTCAGACAACCTTATGGATAAGAACTTTGCTAAAACCGCAGCCTTGAGTCTGATCCAAAAGGCCACACCCTTGGCCGTTGAGGCCATAGATGGTAGACCACTAGAAAAACCTCTAGTGACCCATGAAACCCAAGAAATGGTTATGACTGTGGGTGCATTGCATAGGGAAAGGTTAACCTTCCAAATAATTGACTCCCCTACAGCTTCCATCGTTCTGGGTTTTCCCTGGTTAGTTAAACACAACCCAGTACTTGATTGGGGTTGTTTAGATATACTCTCCTGGGGGGAATCTTGTCAACGAGACTGTATGGCTCATATACGTTCTGTTTGTTTACTTAATGTGCCCACAGCTAAACCACTTTCTGTTTCTGTCCCTTCTGTGTATGCAGACCTCGCACTGGTTTTTGGAAAAAAGGGAGGCTGATAAGCTACCTCCACACCGTGATTATGACTGTGCCATAAACCTGTTAACAGGTAATATGCCCCCTAGGGGTAAGGTCTACCCGCTTTCTGAGAAAGAAAATCAGGTCATGGAGGGAATCCTTAAGTAAAGGTTTTATCAGAAGGTCCTCCTCTCCTGCTGGTGCTGGTTTCTTTTTCGTTGCCAAGAAAGAGGGCGATTTGAGGCCATGTATAGACTACAGGGGACTGAACAATATAACGGTTAAAAACGCTTATCCTATCCCTCTCATCACTGAGTTGTTTGATTGTGTTAAAGGTTCTAGATATTATACTAAACTAGACCTCAGGGGGGCTTATAACCTGGTTCGTATAAAAGAGAATGATGAATGGAAAACAGCGTTCAATACACGCAGTGGGCATTACGAGTATCTAGTCATGACTTTTGGACTGTGTAACGCTCCTGCTGTGTTTCAGGACCTCATAAATGATGTCCTTAGAGATCTACTGCATATCTGTGCCGTAGTCTACCTTGATGACATACTTGTATATTCTCCTGATTTGAAGTCGGTGGCTTCAGCGGTGTTCGGCGGAAAAAGTGTCCGTTTTCAGTTCCATAGAATCTGGGCCGAACACCGCTGGTCTTTCGCTTGTTTAAAATGGCCGCAGCCTCGTGGTCGACATACGAACGACGACCACCCTGCATTCGGTTTTAATTGAGAAGTGTCTGTGGTTAACCACAACGTTCTAATTGGGATCAAGAGGTTAACCAGCAGCACACTATATTCGTGAGATATCTCTGAACACAAATATGAGTGTTTTAGAGCAGAAAAGCACATAACGATATTATTAATAAAAGGGCAGGTTTTTTTGTGTGGAGGGGAAGGAGCGATGACGTGATGTGCATGTAAGCCACGTCTTGTGGGTGAAGAAAGCAGATCCGGAGGGTGGATAGTACTGAAACGTGGGAGGATAGCGTCAGTAGGAAAAGTGTATGGAGGCACCCTGCAAACCATGTGGAGGTGTATTTTGCCATGCGGAGGTGCCGAGATTGGTTCGGCAAGAATCTGCAGATTACCTGTGGTCACTGTGCAAAAAAACTATAAAAATGGACCGATATATCCATAGTTTTAAATCAAATAATACAGATAAAAGTTACAGTATTAAAAACACAATTACATGCATGAGTAAAAACGTGATATATTTATTAGAATGTCCATGCGGACTGCAATATATAGGGAGAACTATAAGACCGTTGAAGGTCAGGATTGGGGAACATTGTAGAAACATAGAAAAAGGGCTAAAAACCCACTTGGTATCCTCACATTTTGAGTTACATGGTAATGATCCACAGCACTTAAAATTTATGGGCATTTCAAAATTGTCCCAACACTGGAGAGGTGGTGATATAATTAATAAATTGGGCAAGAAAGAAATGGAGTGGGTCTATTTTTTAGACACACTACACCCTAAAGGTCTTAATGCAGAGTTTGATCTTTTTAATTTTTTATAATAAATATTAAAAGAAAAAAATCTTTCACACCAGTTTTTATATACTTTGCATATTTATATACTATTGTTATTGCTTACACACCACCTCCCCTGTGTATCACTTTAAGATCCCCATATATGTGCATGGTTCACTTTGTGTATAGCATATTTTTATAATATTGGTTATTTTTATAGATTTCTATGCATGCTTATTTTCTGGTATGCAACACCTGGTATAAACCTATATATTTTGTGTGTATAGCTCTATAATGTCTTTAAAAAAAAAAGTGCTGGCTATCTTTTGTAATTAAACATATGTCTTATTTGCTTTTATTATATGTTTTTATATTTACATTCTTTCTTTAAATTTTATCACCTTGTTAATTACATAATTTACTTATTTTATTCTTATATGTATTGTATCCCATATCGGCAATTTGCCCAACTACAATTCCCATGAACAATACCAGATCGTGATACATCACTTCCGGGTGACGAAACAGTGTTTATAGAGAAATGGACAATGTAAACTACATGTCCCATCAACCATTGGGAGATACGCTGATGTCACTTCCGGGAGCCGCACACAACATGAATGGAGGGATACTACATATCCCAGCAAGCTATGAAAAGACTCGCTGACATCACTTCCGGGTGACATTGCATCAGGACTAAATCACATTAATCAGGAACACTTATATAAAGAGGACTCCATTGAATTTTGGACTTATTACTTCTGAAGAAGCCCCAGACTGGGCGAAACGCGTTAAGTAAGAGATCTGATACTTTTATTACATATTTTTTATTTTGTAACAATAAAGTTATAGTTTTTACTACTTTATTTGTTGTTCCTGATACATCTTGAATCCTGACTTATATCCTTTGGTGGGGATCATACCACCACATGCTGTCTATACCAGAGCAAGATATTTGCTCTGAAATTTGTAAGTAGGATACTTTTCCTTTATTTGCACACTTTTTAATAGATATACTACACTATTGGAGGATTGGATACCGCATTATACCATCACTTGATATCCTGAGACAGGGATTATACCGTCTAGGCGCTATACGGCAGAGCTCTGAGTAGCTCTGCAAAGTGTGAGTGAGTCTTTTATAAGCTTTTATATACTCTTATTTCACTTGACATATTGCACTATTATTGTTCTGTACTTTTTTGTCTTGAAGGTTTTATACATTCCTAATTAGAGGACTCTCTGTATGTATATATTTTAATTATTATTTGCACTGTTTGGGCGCGGTTTACCACTTTTGTCTCTTCTGTTTTACTACTGTGAGCAGGTATTGGGAATTCCTGCTTGGTTCACTGCTGCCCACCTTTAGTTTATTTAGTGAGCGCCTAACTCCTCTTTGTTATGTTCAAAGACCAGCCTGCGGGCTGTTTGCAACCTGCATTCCGGTTTAATACGGCCCCAAAGTTAATTCAATATATCTGTTGTGGCCCCCAGTGAATCCCCGAGCGCCGCTCAGGACCCCTGGGATCACAGGATCTTCGAACGCAGCGGTCCTGAGCTCAGGGATTCACTGGGGGCCCAAGAGATCACAAGATCACAGACGGACATGCAGTGACCTCAGTCTGTGTTCTCGCTATCTCTTGGACGTCACAGCATTTGGTGCGCGTGATTGCGGGATTTGGTTCTGTTGCAGTGTAAGCATGCAGAAGCCAAACACAGAAATATTGGACACAGGTCTTCAGGAAGTAACAGGCCTTTATTCACATTACCGATCGGGTCTCAGATGAACTCCTGTTCCAACATTCTGAGAGACCAACACATAGTGTACATTCCTTATATAGCACTATAACTCCTCCCATTAATAGCTACACCCACATATACCTTTAACCAATCAATGAGCAGAATATAGACTTGTACATCTAGTCAAACCACATGGCTCATCCAAGACAAAGGAAATAAGTGCAATTTCAGTTCCTGCATTCCTGCACATGCTCAGTACACTGATGACAGTATCCTAGCTACATGTAGCTAACCAACTGACACAACATACACATATGCCACATGGAAATTTTGGCCTACTAAATTTTGACCATGCTGGAATCCCATCACATTCCCCCCTTTTGATGCCTCTGATATAACATTATTCCAGATGCATCACCAATCACAGTTTTACCTACATCTCTCAAGTAGCCATTGAACCAGAGTAGACCTTGTAAGCATCTTAAAAACTCCTTCAACATTCTTCATCCTGAATATATTCTCTTCGGGCTAGGGGATCATATCTTCCAGACAGCCATTACATGGGCAGCTGTCTTTCTCTCTATAGTACTCTCTATAATGCTACGTAGGGACCTTACCACTAGTGGAATTAGACAGGGCAGGAGGAGGCACAAAAAAAAATATAATAAGTTCTACTCCTCCTACTAATGTCTTAATTCCTCCAAGCTGCTCATACCAACTTCCAAACCAACTACTTAGGTTATACCCATTCCAGACCTGAGTAGGTACATGCTCAAATTTAACCATGTGGCTTGTAAGTTCAGCCACTGCCTGCCCTTCATCATCTATGTGCAGACAACAGTTACTTAGATTAAACTTTCCGCATACACCTCCTTCTACTGCTAGTAAGTAATCAAGGGCTAGCCTATTCTGGTATATGGCTGATCACATCTTGGTATTTTGCTTAGCTAGAAGATTAAGCACTTGAGCTGTGTCATTAGTAATAATCTCAACTACCGCCTGTAGTCTAATAATGCGGTTGAGCATATATAATCGGAGTTCTATATCCATAAGTGCCATCTTCTGCCCAAGTAGCAGGTCCATAATAATTAATAATACGTTGAGGGGGCCACTCATTATCTTCCCAGCTACCTATATTCAAGGATGCTCTCTCCCTTTTATGATTTACATCGTAAACCTTAACTCCCAAGGTCTCTCCTGTTTCGATTGGCAACAAGAAGAAGGATGGCTTTGGCATACCTAATACACATGCCCCTTCCCAATCTTGTGGTAACTCCGAATAAGTTTTCTTACCACAGATCCAGTATAAATTTGCTGGGGCTTTCCAACTAGATGTAGCCGATAAGTCAAACCATACCTCCTTTAAATGAGTGTAATTGGCAAACGGATTAGTAGGTTCCGAGACATTTGAAGCTGACCACCAAGTAGTATTTTTAGTATTAACATTATAGGCTTTTTGTCCCAAGCAAGTTAGCTCACCTACAGACGTGTTATACATTGTCCCTTTCCTGGCTATACAAACATGACCTATAATGGAGGTTTTTAACCACCATTCCAATTTACTTCTAGTACTTACTTGATGATCAGACTGGAAAGGTATCTGTTGTTCATATGTCTCAGAGCCAGGGTACCATATTTCCTTTGCCTCCCATGGCCACTGGTCTCCCATATTAGTACCTCCACACACATAGCAATTAGTTACATTAAGACTACCTGCAATACCCTCAGCCAAATCAATAAATAGGTTGTTAACATTATGGGGAATTTTATCCTCAATACTCATCTCCTCATAGAAGGAATGAGAAACCTGATGAGTTTGAGTTGCCACTGTCTCAGTTTCAAGACCTACATATATTATTGTTCCTGAATCTACTCCTGTGCCATATATTTGAAACCCAAACAGACCTCCAAACCTGTCAATAAAGTACTGCAGATTGGAAATGGTCATGTGAACGGGGTTACACACATAGTTTTACAGTATGGTGTGGTAGGCAACCTTTGGATAATCATATCTTGATCCACTGTTTTTCCCAGGTTGCCCAACCTACACATGACAAATAGTTAGTCTCTATTTGGGCAATCAGGATCAGTAGATCTTATACTGGGACATAAGTATTTATCATTAAACCCATAAGTTCGTTCCCATTTAAGATTACCACATACATTCCAAAGTCTTCCACTACCCGAAATCGCCTTACATGCATCAAATAGTAGAATACCCGCGGAATGTATGGTGCTTATCACAGTCCTATTTATTAATGTCCCCTGGGAGTTACTATTCCGAATTACCAACCAAATTGTACGGGGTTGGAAATGGGGATCAAAACATTTAGACTCTCCTGATATTGGCTTGCACACACTATAATCAATATCCAAATATCTACATTTAGATACAGATCCCTTACATTCATACTGTGAGTGCCAGATGAGAGTTTGGGATATTTGGTTACCTGTTTTAGTAGTCTTAATGCAACTATCGCAATTCGGTATGTCTGTACTCCTACCTTCCTGAAAAATCATAAAAATACTAAGACACATAATAAAACACATTATTCCTGAAATCCTCATTTTTCTTCGACCGTGCGATGGCCTCTCAGCTTCCCGATTGTGAGGGCTGCAAGGATGTTGTTCTTCTGATCCTCACTTTCCTTCACAGAGATCCCTTCAAGATACTCTGGCTATGACACGTAGGCAGGTGGTCAGGCTTTATTATGGCCGTCAAAACACCTACTTGATGATCTTTGTAGACTTTTAACTAGAATGTCTCGATATCCCCTCGTCACTCCGACTAAGTTGCACGCTTCAACCGGGTCCTGCAAGGATTCTCAGGATCTGGAGTAGTTTGCCAAGAGTCTGCTGCTGGTTTAACCTTAGAATGATGAATCCAAGGAGTCACTTCCGCCACCTTTACAGCTGTTGGGGTAGATAAAAGAACAACATACAAAGGCTAACAGGATACACCCCGAGCTTTAACTCAATATGTATTGGTGGGATATTACGAGCAAGTCCTGGAGGATTATTTTCTTCCCATACTCCTGGAATGTCAAATAAGGATTCATCACTCTTAGGGTTAACACTTGTCACTATGGAATAGAAGCGTCATTCTTCTTCCCTTGGCACCGATATCGCCATTATGCCTGGTAATCCCTTAAACTTCAGAGATGTTAATCCATTAGGTAAAAGGTTATCTGAGCTTAAAGCTTCGATAATAGATCTCGTCCTAAAAGTTGAATCGGACACTCTGGCATATATAGGAACTAATGCTTCACCACATGGCCTCCCAGAATACAAGTGCGACTCTTAAGAACCGGTCTAGCTGCACTTCTCCCAGTAGCTCCTATCACAGTTATAGTCTTCCCCGAAGGCGGAGCCACCATCTTAGTCACCACAGAATGTTCAGCACCTGTGTCGATCATGAAAGAACTTCTCTTTCCCCCTATTGCTACATCGACCATAGGCTCCGCTCGACCAAGTGGGATGGAGCCCAGTCGGTATCAATAGTCTTCCATGATAGTGTCAGCCAGACCCACAAAATCTCTATCCTCTCTTTCTCTAGGTCTCTGCGTGGGTGGATAGTATCTGTCTCCTTGAACACTTCCTCTACTATTCCCACCATTCCCTCTAAAACTTCCTCTTCCTCTATAACTACCACTATAACCTCCTCATACCCTTCTCTTTCCTTGTCTATCACCTTCATACTGCTCACTCTGTGGACACTCACTCTTCCAATGTCCCTCCTTTCTACAATACGCACATTAATTCCTACTTAAAGTCCCTTGCTCAGCCTATTCTCGTCTCCTCTATTCACTTCCCTGTCTTTCTACACTTAAGATAGCTACCGCTAGCATATCTGCCTTTTTCCTCATTTTACGTTCTTCCTCCGTCTCCCTATTCATATATACTGTATTTGCAATCTCCATTAGCTGTATTATGGACATCCCTACAAATCCCTCTAATTTTCTGTAATTTCCTTTTACTATCACCTTGGGCCTGGCTGACAAATGCTGAGTCTATCATTCGGAAGTTTTCAGGGGCCTCTGGATTAAAGGGGGTATACAACCTATTTGACTCAAGCAGTGTCTAATATGGGACTTCGGCAAAGCTGCCCAATAATAGGTTCCAGTCTACGGGTAGTAAGATAGGTGAAAGGGGGTGAGCTAATTTTATTAGTCGGCATTTGGTGGATGAAAAAATGTTTTTTTTTTAAAGTGTTAAACCAAAAACCTACCAGTAGGTGTCACCAGAGGGTAATTGTATCAAAATAATCTTTATGGGTCTAATAAGAAAACTCAACTTTTAATATATTTATACATAAAATAAAACCTTATAGCAATAAATATATTAAAATAGGGTAAGCAATCCTACATCTATCTGTTATAAACAATGTATTATCAATGTAACTCCCGAAGATGGCCAGTAGGTGGCTTAGAGTGCCTCCCTAAAGTCAAATGAAACAAATAGACTTTAATTAATTATGTCCCTATTTTATTATTACTTATTTTAATCAATGTCCACCCTGCTAGCTAGGCTTGATTAAATCTTTAGTTCTAAGGTAAATTAAACATTTCAGTTTGTAGTTTAGTAAAAGGGGACATTTTGGACAAAGCTGGGAGGGGCCCATCCAGTAACTAAAATAAAGACCAATATACCATCTGATACCATTGATCATTGATTAGGGGGAGGGGTAGTACAGAAATACAAGAGTTTGAAACACAGGAACAGATAGGTATGTGGGTAGGCGGGGACAGTAGAGCAGGGGGAGTGCAAATACTGACTATATACCAGTTTTGGGAGTAAGAAATGGGCGTGGCTACTCTGGCTCTGGAGGATGTTTGGGGGGTTGGTAATCAGATGCCAGGGGGGAGGGGATGTCCAAAGCAGTTGTAATTAAGTCCTTAGTTCTGACCACCATATGGCTACATTGTTTCCCATATGACACAGTTTAATTCACCAAGGCAATTTTTCAACAATCAGTTTCCAACAGTCAATATATAGAAACTGATCATAGAATTCCGGCCTACTAGTTACAGCCACATGCACACCCTACACTAAATTTAAGTGAAGCCTGCTACATGGAGGCCATGCGGCCACCAGGACAAGCTACTCCCTACTTTTTTTTTTTTTTTTAAACATACAAGACAAAGCCTTGTGAATCAGAAGATTATTTCAACAGAGCATCTGATTCAAAAAGCTGTACAAATATACACAGTTTCAACAGTCACACCAATCTCCTTATCACCAGCAACACATTGCGCAGTCACTAGGCCCAAACACACACACAGGATCCTCACATGCTCAACAATATCACGACGTCGCACACACGAAATTAAATCAAAAACCCACCAAAGACTATACACTTATCAATGTAACTATTATTCAAACCATACAACTATCCACGCTATTAATCCATATAAACTAACCGATCACATAACATTTCAACAAATTCATCTCTACAATTATCCGTACTATAAATCAACTCTTGACTAACCAACTATATCACATTCTAGTAACCTCATCTTTACAGTCAGTGGTTATGGTACAGTTAGTAAGTGGTTATAATACAGTTTTAAAGTCACAGATCAGTTAGTAACAGTTATGGTATTATACATATAACATAAAACAGCAATTGTTAGTAATTTTTACACAATGTCAGTGGTTATGGTACATGTCAGTAGTTATGGTACCGTGCGCTATTTTACAGTTATACACACAATTTACACTCCCACTAGACAGCAGAGCTCTAACTTTCTAGTAGGACATACAAGTTAACCAATTCACCAACTACAATATATTTAACAACATTTACAATAATCCCAACTATTCTAACTGGCCAGCACCTCGAGAGCTTTCGATCTATTTATACACCAGAGATTCGATAAGTTCTTCGCTGCCCAGACACCACGTATAGCGAACTAGAGGGCAGAATTTACACAGTACCCAGCTAGTCTATTAAACTATCAATAAGCTAGTGGCTGGATTTACAACAGAGCACACTTAGTTAAGATAGGGTGAAATCTAGCAAACTATAATATACAACAGAGTATGCTAGTCTCCCGGTCCCCCCGACCTAGCGAACAAAATTTACACCCTAGATACGCTAGTCAAGACAGGACACCGGTGTCCGACATGAGCTATTTACACCAGAACTCAGTCTGACCCAAACCACCTATATTAGACGGGCTGACTACAGAGCGTCTAATTTCCAGATAAGTGTTGCGCTTTTCACTTCTTCCTTCTACTGAAGGGGCCAATACCAATAACCGGTTCCAAATATAAAACCCCTTGTGGGTCTACCGCTCTAACGGTATCAATCTCACCTGTTAACTTCTGGACCTGGGTTCACTCATAGACGGAACAATCCGGGACTCACTGCGCAGAAGCCGATGATCTCCTGGACAAAAGGCCAGTGGCGCCGAGACGAAAGGAGGTCCACGCAGTAGAAGTCCAGGATTGTAGCGTAGAAGGTTTGGTAAAAGTTTACCGTCTCAAATCTCTGTGCCAGCTTCCATGCAATGAGGTTCCCGGCCCAATTGCACCAGAAATGTTGCAGTGTAAGCATGCAGAAGCCAAACACAGAAATATTGGACACAGGTCTTCAGGAAGTAACAGGCCTTTATTCACATTACCGATCGGGTCTCAGATGAACTCCTGTTCCAACATTCTGAGAGACCAACACATAGTGTACATTCCTTATATAGCACTATAACTCCTCCCATTAATAGCTACACCCACATATACCTTTAACCAATCAATGAGCAGAATATAGACTTGTACATCTAGTCAAACCACATGGCTCATCCAAGACAAAGGAAATAAGTGCAATTTCAGTTCCTGCATTCCTGCACATGCTCAGTACACTGATGACAGTATCCTAGCTACATGTAGCTAACCAACTGACACAACATACACATATGCCACATGGAAATTTTGGCCTACTAAATTTTGACCATGCTGGAATCCCATCACAGTTCCTTCTCCCTGCTGGGAGAGAAAGAGAGAATGGACAGAATAAAAAGGTACAGAATAAAGAGAGACAGAATAAAGAGAGAGAATAAAGAGGGACAGAATAAAAAAGGTACCAAATAAAGAGGGACAGAATAGATGGGGGCGGAGCCAACGTCTGAACCGCATGGACGTGCAGTAATTTCTCTCCGAGACAACCTTCCAAAAAATCCGAATACATTGGGATAATAATCTGAAATGGGAAGGCTCATACCACACAGCAAGCATCAGGGAAGAAGCCCCAAGACAAATCTGGAGCCCTGACAAAACTCTTTAGGGAAAATGCGGACCATCTACAAGGCTGAAAAAGGCCTCAACATGACGCCAGAGTCCTCTCAAGAGGGCTCAGCACCCTCCAGCCCGGAAGGGTCTGCAGGCTCGGTATACAACTCAGACCTAGAGATCAGGGATGCCCTGCAAAACTTACCCTCCAAAAGCGGCATCGCCAACATGCTGGGAAAGTCTAATTTAAAATGAAACTGGGGGCCATAGGCGCAGACATCCGCCAGGTGGGAGACAGGGTTACCTCCATGGATGAAGACCATGATGTACATTTCACTCAGATGCAGCAGTTACAAGCTGATATTTCTTCACATACATACCTCCTCTCTGGGATGCAACGCACAATGGATGACTGCAGCCGGCGTAACAACTTGCGGATCAAGGGCCTTCCGGAACCGATCAGGAGGATCTCCACTCACAGCTAAGGGAGCTCTTGAATCTCCTCCACAGATCTCCGGAGGCCCAGGTACTGTTTGACCGCGCACAGAGGTCCGAGAGATGTAATCTGTCGGTTACATTACTTCTCCGTTAAGAAGGATATTATAAAAGCACTGCGCCAAACATCTTAGCCGCTGCTATTCCACAATGCTCCCCTACAAATTTATCCTGACCTCTCTTGGGCAACGCTCCAAGCCAGGAGAGTGCTGAGGCCCATGAGCAACTTCGCTCACGCAACATCAGATATAGGTGGGGATTTCCTTTAGCCCTTCCCATACTCTGTCCTCACGTCAAGACGTTCTGGTGTTCACCAGAACTTACCTGACATTACCATACAAGATTGGTATGGAGCTACGCAGTCAGCCCAAACCACCCAAATGCCACAACACCAGAGGTGGCAAACTCCCTCCATGGCAGGAGCAACAGAGAGATGGGGAAGACTCCTACCTCAACAATAGCGTCTATTCGCCCATCCGCAGACCACTCCACCTAGCGAGGGACTTACCGGAGAATGACATGCATCCTCTCAGACCTACTAAGTTATAAACTGACTACCTAAATTAACAACCGGGACTCCCCTACATGGGATTGGACTTGTTTCCACTACACCACCTATTACCAACCAGAAAACTTGCGCCCTCCCAGGACCGGACATACTAGCCCGACCATTCTAACTTCATCACGGCTAGCCGATGATGGGCTAGAGTCTGATGGCTGCGAGACATTGTAACACACACACGGACTGAGATCTCTTTCCCACACAGCTTGGAAAATGGCAGGTAGTAAAGGCTGCAGGGAGAACCAGGATCCATACCGTGGATGTATCACAGAGCTGTGTGGGAGATAGTGAGCCATTGATAAGTTATCTTTTCATTATCTCTATTAGTTTTACTTCTTTACAATGTCTAATACCATTTTGTTACACGCTTGCATACTGTGATTACCCCCGCTTTCCTCTCTTGGTCACCCTCTGGATCCCAAACTACCCCTTCCTCTGACCACCCACACCCCTTTCTTTCCTCCTTCACTCCACTGTTCATGTTATTATGCAATGTATTTGTGCTGGAAATAACATCACTATTAGCAAGGAGTGGTGGTGGTGGGGGGGGTGAGAGGTTCATTCAAGGTGGAAGGAGGGGGTATGTGCTCTCTACACAACTCTAGGGGCGCAGATGCCAGATGCCAAGGGGATTCCGGATTCTCACATACTGCCCAGTTATTATTGGTATTTTCACTATGAGACTATCAGCCCACTTTCCTCCCTTCATACACTGACAGGTTAGCGTAACCAAGGGGAGAACCGCGGCCTGCATCCTGCAAACGGCTCCCAACAACTCTAAGCAACTGGGAGGGGAGAACAGAAATATTCAGATCTTTTACCATGTGGGGCCTACTGAGATATACAATACAACCGTAAAAATAATAATAAAATAGGACTACCATCCTCTCGTTTCTTAGGCTTATTAAACAGTGCAGAATTTTCCACAACTTTTCCATGATGGTGGAAGGTTGCAGCTCCACGACAATTGTAACTTACTGATTACATAACACCCCTCCCCCCCAAAACTACACAGGCTATAACAAATTTCATATCAAGCACTAGCGGTGCCTTTATAATCCCACGGGGCACCACCTTGCGAACTGGGATAGACACCGGCGGAAATGTATCCATTTGGATATACCGTAGTGACACCTAGAAAGGCGACACTACTCCTAATTATTTTTGTCCATTTGACTCCATGGACATCCTACTGTAAATAGTTATTATTGATCTGTTAATTCCGAACCATATGCAGGGACACCACTGCGAACACACACTAGTAGCAGGCCTTCCCATGGCTTCAATTAGGACAACTATAGTGCCAGGAAAACAAACTCGTTTTCCTGGCACTATAGTGCCCTGATGGTGCCCCCACCCTCATGGCCCCCATCCCTCAGAGCTGAAGTTGGAGGAAGGGGTTAAGTTCTTACCTTTCTCCAGCACCGGGCTCCCTCGGCGCTGGGGACTCTCCTCCTCCTTTGGACATCATCGGCATGCGCATTCAGTCAGTCCATAGGAAAGCATTCTCAAAAATGAGACAGCCACTAGAGGCTGGATTAACCCTATTGAAACTGCTAGGTTTACAGCTGTAGGGTTAACCTTAGATGGACCTGGCACCCAGACCACTTCATTAAGCTTAAGTGGTCTGGGTGCCTATAGTGGTCCTTTAATGCTAGGGGACTCAACAGTCCGGAAAAACGAACGCTAGCACTCAAAGATTTTCAAAAAATGAAAGCAGATGTGGTCTTTGTCCAGGATACTCACTTTAAGGGGGAAGGGGCACCAATCCTTAGAAACAGCAAATTCCCAACAGGCTAGTTTAATAATTTTCCAGAAGCCAAGAAGAGGGGAGTGGCTTTTCTACTAGCATCCCGGGTCCCACTTACATATAAAGATCACTGCACTGATAACTCAGGGAGAATAATACTAGTAAAAGGTTGTGATGAAGTGCCCTTCGCCACTTGTGCCTGGAGGGTACTACTGGCTAGCCTCCTGCTTTCCGACTATGGCCCCTGTGCTGATAGCTGTATTTTACCCTGCAATAAGGTTTATTTGGGTATTTCTGCCGGGTTGTTCAGGACTTCCAGTATGTGAGTAGTGCTACCCCAGATAGCTATGCCATGGAGCAAATTTGTGTAACGAAAGACTATGGAAAAGACTTTGGCTCCATGGCGATTGAATTGTAGGTATGTGATCTGAGCGCCATTCAATAATAATGTGCACTCAGATCTAAGCTATCTAGGGATATGTTGCAGGTATATGTTTTATGTAGTAATTGTAACATTGTGTAATTTTATGTCTTTTTGTAACCATGTGGTTAATGGAGTCTTGCCTCTGTCCTGGGAGATAAGTTGATTACTTCCCAATTATCTCCAGGATAGAGAGGAGGGATTGTGATGTCACTGTGGGAGTGTTTTGTTTGTATTGTCTGTGATTGGTTAAACTGTGTCCCACCCTGTGGGATGTCCCCTTGCATGGGGACTTGCATAAAAGCCAGTGTTTGGTCATTAAAACCAGATCATCTTGTACCTTTCTTGAAGCCTTGGCTCATGTTTGAGGGAAGGGATACCTACACTCTGGGGATTGCTATAATCACTTACTCCCCAGAGTAAGCTCTTGCAATAGCTTGTTTTGTTCCTGGTTCCTGCTCTCTGGATTTAGGAGAGGTTCACCCACTGGAAGCTGGATCCTGGCCTTGGATCCAGGGTGGGTGAGAGACGGCAAGACCCCAGCGCAGCTGCATCGCTGGAAGTGGGGTCTGCAGTGCTGATGGTGTCGGTTGGAGTGCTCGGAGCGGCAAGCGCTAGGAGCATCGATTGGCGGAGGTACTCAGTCGGAGTGCCAGCATTCCGTCACAAAGGTCAACTAGGTCATTGGCAAACCTGTACCTTCCCAATACACATCAGAGAAGATCTCTCAGAAAATACCTCAGGATTATAGAGAATTTCACGGAAGGCTGGCTTGTGCTGGGGGCAACATGAACCTATCCTTAGATACACGCATGGACACCACTGCAGAGGGCACAACATACCACCAACCAATTACCAGACTGCGCTCAACTATGCAATAGTTGGTGAATCCTAAACCCTCATGCCAGACGCTACTCGTACTAATCCCCTTCCAATAAAACCTACACAAGAATAGACCTTTATCCCTCATAGGTTCATCCACCTGGTAGAGGACTGCAGATACGGGCCTATAACATGGTCGGACCATGCACCCCTGTCTCTTGCCGTTCGAATCCCATCCCTCCCACTCAAAACCTTTCAGTGGAAACTGAATGACCTGTCCCTAAACAACCCTAGCTTAGTAGTGCAGGTCTCGAACACACTCCACTGCTATTTCCAAGAAAAATCGAATACCGACATCCCAGATACTAGTGTCTGGGAGGCCCAAAAACCAGTGGTTAGAGGCCATATGATTGCATAGGCGTCAACAAAAAAGAAGGAACGAGAGGTGGAGACCAGATCGATTCTGGCTTCCATACGCTTCCTAGAGGAGAGTCATAAACAGGACCAGTCTACAAACATATAACAGTTTAACATTTCACGGATCAGAGCTAAAACAACTACTCCACGCCCAGGTTAAAATAACACTCTTAAAAACCAAACACAATTACTACTCCAACGGCGGGAAATGCGGCCGTTTATTAGCTACAATGTTACAAGATAAAAGACAAACCACATACATTCCCCAAATCAGGACACCAACAGGTGAAACCTATCATGGCCTGCCAGACATACCATCGGCCTTTCACACATTTTACTCCAAACTATACAACCTTAGACAGTGTGACGGATCACCTGGCACCTCCGCCAACAGATGCTTTCTAGCTGATGCTGAGGACCGTAAGTACCGCACCGGACACCACAAGCACCGCAGACTCCACAACCGCTGTAGCTTAACTGGAGTGTCACCGTCTTCCTTCCACCCTGGATCAACTTCTGTCCTCCAGGACCGTGTGGGAAAAGACCTCTCCTCCAGGAGAGCGTATCAGGAATGAGCTCTTAAAAGCTCAAGGAAGTATGCAGAGCATAGCAATCCCCAGTGTGATATAGCAGTTCCCTCCAATCACGAGACAAGACTACGTGTTGAGGGTCAAGAAGATCTGACTGTATTGGCACATACAGCCTCTTTTATTCACATTCTACAAACATAGTACGGTCCACAGGGTTTTGAAGAACAACCAATCAACACATTACAACACAGCTAACACTCCCATTCATTACATCAGAAATCCTCCCCTCTGCCTGTGATACAATTATCTCAAAACAATAGACTAACTTAATTATCACAGGCAGGAAAATACAGTATTATAAAACATATCACAGGGACCCCAAAACATGCAATAACCCCATATCCTCGGAACCGGGGGATCTGGGTGAACCACATATCCAAAATTCACCCAGATCAGTTCAGTAGTTTGGAAGATACGATTTAATGCAGATTCCGCAGAACATATACAGGCTATATGAAAAATAATTACTGTTAAATGTGTCCCCTGTTCTGTAGTTTAAAACCACAGAATGTCTTTGTGCACCAAATACCGGTGAGATGGCACTGTGTAGAAAAGTCAAAACAATGTCTGTGAGTTAAAATGGCCGCCATCCATTGTTCTCACCATGTGCTTCATCCATTGTTCTCACAATGTGCCTCTGATACATGAAATGGTGGCCACCCAGTAACTCCACAGTTTGTCTGGTAGTCTAACAGTGCAACAAACAAAGGGAATCATAAAAAATATGGACAATAGTCATATTAGTGCACAATCTCCAGTTTTGTCACAGGGCACAAATAGTGTTTTCAAATGCCATATATCCCAGGGCCATAGTCAGAAGGTAGGAGCAAGCAGCCCCCTCCAAGAACACGTGGCGAGGTCTGTTCCGCCACAGAAGGAATCTGGGGTTGTAGCCGTAATTAGCGTAGAATGGAGAATATTTTGTAGAAGATTGCACATTATTGTTATATGAGAACTCAGCCAGAGGTAGGAGAGAGGACCAATTGTCTTGTTGATATGTAGTGTAAATATGGAGGTATTGTTCTAGGATACCATTGAGTCTTTCATAGTTACATAGCTGAAAAGAGACTTGCGGCCATCAAGTTCAGCCTTCCTCACATTTGTTTTTTGCTGTTGATCCAAAAGAAGGCAAAAAACCCAGTTTGAAGCACTTCCAATTTTGCAACAAGCTAGGAAACAAATTCCTTCTTGACCCCAGAATGGCAGTCAGATTTATCCTTGGATCAAGCAGTTATTTCCCTACATTGAAAGATTATATCCTTGAATATTCTGTTTTTGCAAGAATGCATCTAGTAGCTGTTTGACCATCTGTATGGACTCTGATACAACCACTTCTTCAGGCAGAGAATTCCACATCCTTATTGTTCTTACAGTAAAAAAAACCTTTCCTTTGCCTTAGATGAAATCTTCTTTCTTGCAGTCTAAACGCATGGCCTCGTGTCCTATGTAAAGTCCGGTTTGTGAATAGATTTCCACACAATGGTTTGTACTGGCCCTGAATATATTTGTATAATGTGATCATATCCCCTCTCAGGCGACATTTTTCTAAACTAAATAGGTTTAAATTTGTTAACCTTTCTTCATAGCTGATATGTTCCATTCCTTTTATTGATTTTGTAGCCCGCCTCTGCACTTTTTCTCATGCCATAATATCCTTCTTTAGAACAGGTGCCCAAAATTGCACAGCATATGCAATATGTGGTCTTACCAGTGATTTATAAAGAGGCAAAATGATATTCTCATCCAGAGAATGAATGCCCTTTTTCATGCATGACAATACCTTACTGGCCTTGGCCACTGCTGATTGACATTGCACATTGTTGCATAGTTTGTTGTCTATAACAATTCCCAAGTCCTTTTCATGTGTTGTTATCCCTAATTCGCTTCCATTAAGGGTATACGTTGCTTGTGTATTCTTTACGCCGAAGTGCATAACTTTGCATTTTTCAACATTAAATTTCATCTGCCATTTGAGTGCCCAGTCCCCCAGTCTATCTAAATCCCTTTGCAGCAAAGTAATATCTTGCTCACATTGTATTATTTTACAGAGTTTTGTGTCATCTGCAAACACTGAAACATGACTTTCAATGCTTTCTTCAAGATCATTTATAAACATGTTAAATAGAAGGGGTCCCAGAACAGACCCCTGAGGGACACCACTTGCCACCTCTGTCGAGCTTGAAAATTTATCATTAATGACAACTCTTTGTACTCTGTTTTTAAGCCAATGTTCTACCCAAGAACAAGCATTTTCATCTAGATCATGAACACTAATCTATTGTGTGGAACTGTATCAAAAGCCTTGGCAAAATCCAAATAGATCACATCCACTGCAACACCCTGATCTATACTTCTACTTACTTCTTCGTAGAACGCAATCAAGTTAGTTTGACATGACCTGTGCTTCATAAAACCATGCTGATTTTTGCTGATAACCATGTTCTTCTCAAGGAATTCTTGAATATTATCCCTTAATAACCTTTCAAATATTTTCCCAGCCACAGAAGTTAAGCTCACAGGTCTATAATTTCCAGGGAAGGATTTTGAACCCTTTTTGAATATAGGAACCACATCTGCCTTCATCCAATCCTCCGGAACACTTCCTGAAAGAAAAGAATCTTGAAAGATTAAAAACAGAGGTTCACTTATTTCTACACTTAGTTCCTTAAGTACTCGTGGATGGATACCATCAGGCCCTGGAGCTTTGTTTATATTAACTTTAGTTGCTGCAGCACCTTGTCTTGGGTTAACCTCGGTTTGACCATTTGTCTGAGGATGGAAGGATGTTGATAATTTATGATGTATTTGAAGGATTTGAAGTTCTTTGATAAAGATATGAGCAAAAGATAGAGCAGATGGAATCGCAGGGAGAGCAATAAAGTGGACCATTTTTGTAAGATGGTCGACAATTGTTAATACACAAGTATTGCTTTCTGAGAGAGGTAAATCAACAATGAAGTCAATACTTATAGAAGACCAAGGGGCATGAGGAATAGGCAGAGGCTGCAATAGTCCCGATGGCAGTTGATAAGACTTCTTTTTTCTTTGACATTCTTCACATCTTAAGATGTAGTTTTTAATAACTTTAGAATAAGGCCACCAAAAATATTGTTTAAATAATTGAAGAGTTCTTTTCACCCCTGGATGACCTGTAAGTGGATTGTCATGTATATAAGATAAAATAATGTTTCTTGCGGAGACAAGGAACATAGAGTAAATTATCTTTATACCATAGTCCACTTTTTCTTTGCAGAGATAATTCAGGAGAGGGGTCATCTGTATAAGATGAAGTGATTTCATTAGAGAAGGATGACATTAAGCCGATTAATTTTTGAGGGAGGAATTATATTTGAATCGTCCATAAAGGGAGTTGTTTTTCCATTTTTCTCTCCCGGACGATACGTAATACGAAAGTCGAAGCGTTCAAAGAAGAGTGACCATCTTGCAAGTTTAGGATTTAGACGTTTTGCAGAACGGATGTATTCAAGGTTTTTATGGTCCGTTAATATGATAAATGGTATCTGAGATCCTTCGAGTAGATGCCTCCAATCTTCTAGAGCAGGGTTGTCCAACATGCGGCCCCCCAGATGTTGCTGAACTACAACTCCCATGATTCCCTGGCTATCTGTTTCATTGAAAGAATCATGGGAGTTGTAGTTCAGCAACATCTGGGGGGCCGCATGTTTGACAACCCTGTTCTAGAGCAACTTTAATTGAAAGTAATTCCTTCTCTCCAAGCTGTAATTCCTTTCAGCAGGTGTAAGTTTCCGTGACAAGTAGGCAACAAGGTGTAAAGGAGATGAGGGATCTTTACGTTGAGAGAGAATTGCTCCAACAGTGATGTCAGAAGCGTCTACCTCTAAAACATATTGAAGAGAAGGGTCTGGTTGTTTGAGCATTGGAGCGGAAATTAAGCTTTCTTTTAAAGTATTAAAAGCTACATTTTCTTTTTCTCCCCATTTAAAAGGGCAATCTTGTTTGGTAAGACTTGTCAATGGTGATACAATCGTTGAAAAATTCTTAATGAATTTTCTATAAAAATTTGAAAAAACAATAAATCTTTGAACATCTTTTTTAGACTTAGGGATAGGTCAATCTTTTATTGCTTCTATTTTGTGGGGATCCATGCTTATAGAAGAATCAGAGATGATGTATCCCAAAAAGGGGATCGTATTCTTCTCAAGAATTTCGGGTATTAGAGGGAGAGGATACCGATTCTTTATGGTTATCTTGTTCAATTTACGGTAATCAGTAATAGGACGGATTGTTCCATCTTTATTAGTCACAAAAAATATTCCAGCTCCCGCGGGAGAGGTAGAATGTCTGATGAAACCTTTTTTGAGATTAGTATCCAAGTATTCTTTTAGTATTTTGAGTTCCGGTTCTGATAAAGGATAAATATTACTGTAAGGGATAGTAGAACCCTCTATGAGGTTAATAGGGCAGTCATATTGTCTTGAAGGAGGGAGCTTAGAAACTTCTGTTTCACTAAAGACATCACTGAATTCTATGTAATGACCAGGGATAATAGTGGACATACAGGTGGAAGTACAGTATTCTGAATGAAAAGTAAAGGTATTTAAGGACCAATTGATTTGAGGGTTGTGCATTTTCAGCGAAGGCAGGCCCAAAACAGCGTCAAATATAGAGGTATTAACAATGTCAAAAATGATATCTTCAAGATGGTGATTATTAATGGTCATTTTAAGAGGGGAAGTTTGGAAACGAATGACTCCAAATTTTGAGACCGAGCCATCAAAAAGAACGATTTGAGAAGGACTTTCCTTTTGATGGACAGGAATGTTGAAAGTATCAACAGTTTTTTGATTAAAAAACAATCAATGGCACCAGAATCAATTACAGCATTAATTTCTATATCTGTGCCATTTAGAAGAAAAGACATAGTTGTAAAACAGTTACGTTCTGGGTTAGAAACCGTGGAGCAATGAGTAGAATACGTTTTTCCCCATCTTATTCCATTTAGAAAGGGGGCAATTTGGTAATAGATGAGAAGGTGATGCACAGTACATCCAGTTTCCATGGCTTCGTTTTTTTAGGAGTTAGAAGAATTGTCTAGACGGAGTGTTGTTAAAGAGGATTGTCTGGAAGAATTAGAAAAATAACTTTTTCTTTTCTTCTTTCTCTAAACCTCCTGTCTAATTGAATAGTGAGATTAATTAATTCCCTTAAAGTGCTAGGAATACCTGGCCTTGCAAGTTCATCCTGGAGATTTTCAGACAACCCCAATCTGTATTGGTATTTTAAAGCTGCTTTATTCCATGAAGTCTCTGCAGCTAATCTACATAATTGAGAAACATATTCTACCACATTGTTTCTCCCTTAGGTTAAAGAGTGTAATAAGGTTTCAGCAGTATCACTTTTATTTGAGTCTTCATACAATTTATTCATTTCCTGCAGGAATAATTCAAGTGAGGAGAGGCAAGGGTCAAATGACTCAATAAGTTGATAAGCCCATTTAGCGGCATCTCGCTGAAGCAAGGAAATAATGGATTTTATTTTCACATCATCATTTCTAAAAGTGCCAGGTCTCAGAGAAAACATGAGTTTACATCATGTATGAACCCCCTGTAAATAGAACGATCTCCAGATAATTTTTTTAGGAGGGTATATATGTTGATGGGAAAGGGTGTGTTGTTTTAAATGTTTAACTTGAGTTTGGATATCATTTAGTTTAGGGTGGAACTCCTGAATTGATTGAGCAAGGTATTCGACTTGTGATTGAAGAGACTGAACCCCCTGGGTTAGGTTTGTGGCTTCCATTATTTTTTTTAAATAAGTTTTACAATTGCAAGGCACATTTAATCTGTCATGTTTTTTTCTTTAAAAAATGCCAAACGAAAAAATAAGAACCATTCACTTTTTATTTTGAGGCAGTTTCAGCATGGCAAACTGATGTGGCAGCAAAGCAGAGAGATAAACTGATAGTCCTTGAAAATAGAAGTTTAGGTGATGTGTACAGGGTTAGTCCATAAGCAATGTCCTTTAGCCAGTCCGAGGTCATTCAATAGGAGATCAAGCAGTATTGAAGGAAATTCCAAAAGCAGAGTCTAGGCCAGTCTGAATTAGTTAACCAGGTAATCAAAGATATAGGGGTATGAAGAGGAGATCCAGAAGGGATCCGGTGATGGAACACACGGTCTCTGTAGGAGTGATCCTAATGATTAGGAAGGAAGTTGATGCAATCAGTCCTATTAACACATTAATTGTGCCCTGAGGTATTGGAAATTGGAGTTTAAATAACCAAGGGGTGTGTACTTTCATGCCGTGTTAAAGGGCCACTAATAAACTAATAAAATTCCTGGCAGTAATATAGTAATAGATAGTGTTGCCTGGGGTGACACCCTAACACGTGTTAAAAAAAAAAGTGCACAATATAACTCTGTTCGAGACTCACTATAAAGTGTGCAACAGATGGTATCTGGTGCCAACTAGATTAAAGAGAATACCAGCGAATCAGATACGTGCTGGAGATGTAGGAATGGAGTGGGAAGTTATTTGCACATATGGTGGAATTGCAGAAAAATAAAAAAACTATGAGATCAGATATTTAGAACGTTATGGGTATGTGGTAAGATTAGAATTGACCAATCCCCAGTTACTGCACTGTTACATCTGAATTGGCCAGATCTGTCAT